AAGGAAGGAGGGAAAGAAAAGAAAGAAGGAAAAAAAAGAAGGAAAACAGACGGACTGATATTTCGACTTTAATTTTTAGTTTTCCAGTGCATAAGGGCAGTTAGTATGTGGTTTAAAAACTTTTGTTTTTTTCTGATTACAAAGGTAAATGTTGTAATGTAATGTAACATTCAAATGCAAACATTCAAATATTACAAAAAAAATTCATGACTTAGAAATGGAGTCCTTTATAACTATACCTCATTTAAGATAACCACTGATAATAAACTGGGTTATATCCTAGTGGTTTCATATATTCAAAAGGTGAAGGATGTTGTCAGTTACATGTTTGTATTTATGAGAAAGTAAGTCTAGAGAGCTTAAGTGGCTTGCCTAAAATCACATAGATACTTATAAGACAGAGAACTTCCCATCGTAGGATGTTTGCTCTTTTCCTTCTATAAAGACAATTTTAAATTATTTTTCTTACCTGCTGGAGGTACTTGGCTACTACGGCCCTATGGGTGTCTATGTGGTCCTTGGTTTCAATTACATTTCTGTCTCGTAACCGTTTCTCATAGTCCTAAATTAAAAGGAGGTAATAATTTTATGATTTTAAAGTGCTCTCTGAAGCTCTTAAGATTAGGGAATTATTTATCACATGTGGTTTAAGTTTTAAATTATGGTTCTAAACATTTCTTCCACCTTCTTCCTAAATTTTGATTCAGAATTGATCTTTGATGCAGTAATTAGGATTCTGAGTCAATTGACTGAACTGACTTAATAACAGAAGAGAATTCTGTACAGTGGTTACAAGTTAAAATGTTCATGGAGGAAGAAATACAGGCCACAGAAGACAACAGAAAGTTGTTATAATTCAAGAAGCTAAGCTCATCCAAACAACTTAGCCAAACCCCCTGCTTAAGTTTTGCCTTTTCTATTTTGAGTAAAGCAATTACAAAAATCGTGAAAAGCTCCAATTAAAACATTACCATTATCACATAACATCTGGCTGCAGCTGACTTGGGTCATCTACTTGCAGGAGGGTGACGGATACTTTTGGCTTTGTTTGCTCAGGCCTCTCCCTTTTTCTGTCAATAAAATTATGTGTGCCCCAGGGAACTGCGATGTTCTCCTTTAAGCCAACTCTGGTTACAGTTGAGTACCCAGCAGTGGCACCTAACCCAGGCTTGGTGACACGAGCTTCTTCCTAAGATTTTTGAGTTTGAGACAAGAGGACACATCTCTCTCTGCTGGCTGAAGCTACTCGACGTGAACTGGGATGATGTTGGTAACCATGTGGCCAAGTTGAAAAATCCCGTCTGCAGAGGAAGAGAATGAAGCCAACACACCAAAGAAGCCCAGACAGGATGGGAGGGTTCCTGACAGCATGTAGGCCCTGGATCCAGGGGTACTTGAGGCCTAGAGGCACTCCTGCCATTCATACGTTTTTAGATATTTAACCCTATTTGTGGATTTCATCATCCAATAAACTCCTCTTGGTGCCTAAGGCAGTTCAAAATTGGATTTTTATCTCTTACAATCACAAGTCCAAACTAACACAAAGAACTAAATAACCAAAAGTATTCTCCAAGAATAGTTTCTGCTTGAAAAAATCTTAATGGTATTAATTTCTGATGGCTCTCCATTTATCTCATCGAATACAAACTCATCTGTCTGGCTCTCACTGGCCTGCCCCATCTACACAAGCCCGTTACCTATAATTCCTCAGAGGCTCCTCCGCCCCACACCTGCCTGCTTCCATCTGCCCTTCTCTGAGTCTTCGTTCCTTCTGTCGCCCTGGACAAGGATGGATGCCGGCCCTGTTCCTTCCTTCCCACCCACCCCAAGGCTGTTCAAATCCTATCCATCCAGTTTTCCCTGAGCACTTTACCACCATGTACATGGTGCCTAGTACATACTTACTGCATGAAAATGGAATTGAATTCCTGACTAAGGTAGTAATAATTAGCCATATTAACCCTTAAGATATGTTCAATGCTATAATTCTAACTGTGGGCAGTTTAACCAACTAACTCAGAATTCTGGTTACTGGTTAGTTTATACATCATTATACTGAGGCAAAGAGATTATTTAAATATTGAATTCAAGAAAAATAATGGAAAGGTTATATATAAAAGTGCTAGCTGGATGTAGTAGTGCTTTTCTGTAATTTCAGCTGTCCAGGAGGCTGAGGTGGGAGGATCACTTGATCCCAGAAATTTGAGACCAGCCTGGGCAACGCAGCAAGACCTCATCTCACATACACACACAGAAGTGCTATAAAGGAGAAACCAACATTGCTACTGAGAACATAACAAAAATTAAATACACATATAATAGTATAACTAATGGCACGGCAAGTATTTTATTATTTTATTAACCTCTCTAGGGCAATTTCTTACCTGGAATACCTTTTCCATAATTTCTCGGTCATATATTGGAATTTGCTTATAATTTCGGAATTCTGGCACCTGTTGGCTTCTAAGATGAAGAAGCCTGAATCGTTTGGATCTATTCAATTCTTCATCTGAAACAAAATTAAATTCCTGTTGCAGCTGTTCCAGTCGAAAGAAATCAGGGACATAGGATTCACCACTTGTAGCAACCTATAAAATATAGAAAATACAAACCTCCAGATAATGGGCAAATTTCATCCAGAGAAATCTGGCACTGAGCTTCTGGGAATGTTTAACGGTTTCAGATTAAAAGACTTGGAAGACAAAATACATTAAAAAATAATAGTAGCGAGGCAGATGCTATTATATTTATTTAGTAGCTATAAAAGTTACCACAAATCATTTTTCCAGAAAAATAAAAATTATATTTTTACTTTTGGTGTGTATGCTTCCCCAAAAATGCTATTATGCAAATATCCAGACCGAAAAAGGAGAGATATCAGACCCAAGTGTATCACTAGGTGCCTACTAGAAATAATGTTACTCATATACACGGTGTATATAAAATCTAATATATATATGTGACTTTTTAATGTATTTAGGCACATATGTAGATAAAGGCCCCAGAGGCAACTGGTCAGCTTCATTTGGCTCCATGGCCATGCTTTCCTTTCTCTGAATAGCACCTCACAGCCTTGGTCACTGAGAAAAGTGAGCCAGAGATGATCCAGGCAAGTTGACGTCTAGGGCCCTGTACGTTGTCACAGGAAGGACACCTTCCGGACACCACTGTGCAGCTGAGCAGGTGTTGGCTGCACTTTACCCAGGTACTGCCTCTCTGCTTGGTGCTTTGCCAGTTGTGACCTCCTCCTGGTCTCATGTGATCCTCTTACCTTGGCTTCCCAAAGTGCTGGGATTACAGGCATGAGCCACCATACCCAGTTTATGACCTCCTCCTGGGGACAGGGAAAGCCAGTGCACAGAGAGATGGGAGCCTTGCATGGGAAAGGTGGCCCTGCTGTGAAAATCCTGGTCCATAACAAGAGACCACTCAAGAAGGCATCCCTGTGTTTTGTTTTTCTATAGGAAAACATTTAGCTAAAAAGGAAGTGATGAATGTGATATGTGTACTATATTACCACGAATTGAAAGATAATCAAAATGTGATTTGAAAACTTTACATGGACTAGATTATACTTTAGGTGATATGGCCTTTTCTTTCTAATATTCCTATTATCCACATTAAGAAGCATCGTGTTGGAAGGAGAGTTTATAAAGACAAAAGTCAGAATAAACCAAAGCTTGTTTTGGGACTCAGAAAGACTAGAAGCGAAATGAAAATTTTCATACTGGTTATAATGAGCCTACTGATGAACTCATACTAATAACCACAATCGTACGATCGTGTTGCTGTGGCCAGCCCCTGGATCATCTGCTTGTTTATTACGTTTTCATGTGAATTATGAGGTTGCCAATAAAACCAATTGTATTTCATACCAAGAAAAACAATTTACTAACTAATGTTCCATTTTATTTACAAATTCACTGAAGAAAAATTTTGAATATTATGGTAGATACAAGCAATTTATCTGGTAAATACTTAAGAGAAACCTAAATGATAACCGAATTAATCACGGAGAACACAAACAAAACAAAGATTTCTTAAAACGCCCCTTCAGTACTTGAGGGGGGATGAAAGGAGCAAGTGCTCTGAATTTAGATGGATTTATTAGTTGTGTGTCCTCAAGCAAGTAACTGAGTCTTTGAACTCAGCTTCCTCTTTATAGAATGGGGAAAATAAAACCTTTCTTCGGGGGTTTTACAGAGGTTAGAGGTAAGAGTAACGATGACGACAATAGGTAATATTTACTGCACGTGGATTGTGCCCGGCTAAGTGTTTATCTGCAGCACCTCATTTCCTCAGCACCAGACTGAGGGAGGCACTGGCTTAGAAGCACTGGGGGCTTGCCTTGGTCCCATAGCCAGGTAAACAGCAGAGCTGGTATTTAAACTCGTCATTCTACCCTGCATTCATGTTCTTAAACAGGAGAAAATAGTGTAAAAGACAATGTGTATAAAGGGCCAAGCTTTTTCTAACATTATCAGGCCAAATCGAGCAATGTTGTGTGTGCCTCTTCCCACATTACCGAGATTAGCTGCATCAAAGGGCCATTGTTGGGGTCATTTGGGTCCAGCTTGGACTCTGCTGCCCACTTGGCCAACTTTTTCATGTCTGTCACTCCTGATGTGCCAATAGATGAGATGGCATCTGCTCTCTTCAAAGCACTGAAAAAAACACAGAGGATTCCGTGAGACTGACTTTACCACAGCGCAGTCTGCATGCATCAAGACCGCAAAATCCCAGGGACAGCATCGCTTAAGGAAGTTATTATCCTCCCTCAGAGACAATCTTGTCATAAGGAGGACTTTTGCCATTTTTCTTTATTCGACAATTGCTATCAGGAAATACAAATGGAAGGAGTGCAAGCACGATGCATTCCTATGACTCTGCCCAATGCACAAAAGCCTTCACTCCCCCGGCCCATCCCTGGATGCCGGCTGGTGAGGAGGAGCTCCTGCATCTGGTGCAGGAAGTCCCAGAAGCCTCACATCCCGGACCACTGGGGTGCACTGTAGCTGAAGACAAACTAAAAGAAAAAAACAACTCTGAAATAATGAACGTATGCACTGACTTTGGACACAGGGAATCTGAGGGAAGCCAAAGTGGTCAGCACGATTGATCTGGGGCTTTATTAACAGTCCTGTGTATCTTGTTACTTACTTATGTTGTATTTTACCTCCTCTCCTGAGGAGTTTGGCAGCTTAAATCTCCAGGAGATTTCTCTAGCACTAAACACAAGTGAAATAAATGCAAAGTTCTTATGCTCAAAGGCATGGCCCAGCCTCCACTGGGAGTGTCTTCTGCCTTAGAAAGTTCAGAGCAGCGTCTCCTTGTGGTTTTTATCCCACAGATGGAGAGGGCATCAAGGAAACAAGGCAAGCCCTGTCTGTGTTTCCGTGTGTGGAAAACGACTCTTTCCGAGTCACAGATTGTGCCTGTGTCCTCTTGACGATCAGAATAAATTTTTTTATTTTAGAGATGAGGCAATGGAGGCCTGCAATGGTGAAATGATGGACCCAAGAAGCGTCTACCGGGGAGTGACAGGGAGGCTCTGATAGAGGAAGGCCCAGGCCGGGAAAAGAGTACTTCACAGAGTCATTGTGAAGGCTACATTCTTTTCACTGTATCTGGCACTGAAAAACACTCAGTATTTGCTAGGCTATTAATATTTTAATTTTTACCTTAAGAACAATAAAAAACAACCCTTGAAAATACTGGTACCTGACAATAAAAGGAAAGAATATGATATTGCAGGCTTTCTATCCCTTGGATATTTTTAATGCCAACCCTGACATTGGTCATCAATTTATTCTAACCACATATTACCTCCGAAATCCAATGTTCTGCTGTGACAGTGGAGGAATTAAAGGTATCCCATTTTCTCCAACGGCCCATGCCACACTGTGGGACACTTTCCCTGAGGTCATCAAAATCAGCTGATTACTGCCATCAGCTTCAAATGAGAAGGGCACTCCTAGGAAAAAATCAGATTAAACAGGATGCTGTTTAGAAAGAAGGATTGAGCCCAGCCCTGGCACGAAGGCAGATAGTAGACAAATGGGACCAGGAGTGGCTTGGGGTAGTGGGGATGGAACATACAATTCAAGCCAAAGTCACTGAATTTCTTCAGGTGATGATGCTGAGAGTGAGCTGTTCGGCTCTGTCTCTGACAGCAAAGTGTATGTTACCATGGTGCACTCCCGAGTGGGTCCACCTGTGTGCATACGTGGCTCTGCCACTGTGCAACTATGTGACCTTGGAGAAGTTACTTAACCTCTCTGAGCCTTAGTTTTTTTTTAACGTATAAATTAGGGATAGTAATAGCACTTCCTTCAAAGAATTATTTTGAAGACATTTGTTTATTGATTCATTCAAGATACTTATCTGAGCTTCCACTTCATGCCATGCACTATTGCAGGCACTGAAGATAGCAGTAAAGAAACAAAACTGTTAAGAATCCCTGTTCTCATGGTTCTCATAGAGTTTATATGTGAGTAGGGAAGAGAAACAATAGTAAGATAAGTAAGAGAAATATTCTGTGACAAATTGAGAAGGTATGTAGAAAATTTGTGCTTTGTGGGGTGGCCAGGGAAGCCTCAGTGATGTCATTTTGAATAAATGGCTGAAGAAAGTGAGGAAGTGATACATGTAGGTAGACAGTTTGAGAAAGAGCATTCCTGGCAGAAAGAACAACGAGTATTAACACAAGCACCCTAAGGTGGGAGTGAGGAACCCCAGTTAAATGAGTTAATACTTGCAGAGCACTTACTCCCTGAAAAATAGTGATGACACAACAAATATAAGTTATTACTGAGCTACTGTGGCTACAGTAAAACCTCACTGATTTGGCCTCTACCAATTGGAAATTAATGGTAAAAATTCTCTGGGAAGAATGTTTAATCAACTAAAGGAAAAGATTTTCAAGCACTAAATACAGTAACTTCATAGTCTATATTTCTAATTATTAATTATTGGCACAAAATAATATTGCTATTACATTGTAATAGCTTCTTTGTGTTTTTCGAAGATCTTCCCTTCAAATTGAATATCCCATCTTTTTTTTTTTTTTTTAGACAGAGTCTCACTCTGTTGCCCGGGCTAGAGTGAGTGCCGTGGCGTCAGCCTAGCTCACAGCAACCTCAAACTCCTGGGCTCAAGCGATCCTCCTGCCTCAGCCTCCCAAGTAGCTGGGACTACAGGCATGTGCCACCATGCCCGGCTAATTTCTCTATATATTTTTAGTTGTCCAATTAATTTCTTTCTATTTTTAGTAGAGACAGGGTCTCGCTCTTGCTCAGGCTGGTTTCGAACTCCTGAGCTCAAACAATCCGCCCGCCTCGGCCTCCCAGAGAGCTAGGATTACAGGCGTGAGCCACCGCGCCCGGCCTGAATATCCCATCTTGATCTTCAAAATAACCCTATAAGATATTAAATGAGATTTTATTAGATCCATTTTATGAATAAGGAAGATGGTATTCAAAGGTTGGTATTCTAGGTTACATGACTACTAGAGTCACACAGCTTGTCAGTATCAGAGCTGGAACTAAAGCCTAGGTCTGCAGACTTTTAGACTGGAGTGATTAGATTTGCGCCTTAAAGAAATAATGCAAATAAAATTACAGATATAAGTTCACAACAGAAAATCACCAGACACATGAGGGCACAAGCCATCATGAATAAGAGGCAACAGAATCATAGCAATAAGCAGATAGGTATTGGTATAATCAGATACAGAATAGTAAAAAACATCTTAAATGTGTTTAAATAAAATGAATGAATGAATGCATAAATGCATGAATAAAATAAATGATTTAGAGTCTGAGGAAAGGACAAAAAGCTATCAGAACTGACCAAACTGATTGGAAAAGAACTAAATGGAATTTCTAAGGTTGAAAAATATAGTAATTGAAAGGAAAACCACAATGACATGTTCCAATGATTTGACTTGTAAGACAAATTTAAAGGAATTACATAGAATGTAGTGGTGAAAGAAAAGATATCAAATATATTAAAGAAAGGTTAAGAAACATAGAGGAAGAATTGGAAGACAGCAGCAGCCCACGAGCATACCACTCTCAAGGAAAGGATTGCAATTTTCAGGCAGATGCCTATCCACAGATAGCTGTTCTCAGAAGGAACATTGTGAAACATGACTGAAGGAATCATTCAACAAGATTGAAGGAATCTGTGAGGGGCGTCTATACACAGGAAAAATTAGGAGGATAAAGTGCCGGGGCTGTCACTAATCACAGGGGAAATGCAAATTAAAACTGCAATGAGATATCACCTTACCCCTGTCAGAATATCTCTTTTTGAAAAGTCCCAAAACAATGGATGCTGGCATGGATGCAGAGAGAAAGGAATGCTTATACACTGTTGGTGGGACTGCAAATTAGCACAACCTCTGTGGAAAACAGGATGGAGATTTCTCAAAGAACTAAAAGTAGACCTACCATTTCATCCAGCAATCCTACTACTGAGTATCTACCCAATGGCAAAGCAGTCATTTCATCAAAAAGACCCGCATTCACCATAGAGTACTACTCAGCCGTAAAAAAAAATGAATTAATGCCTTTGCAGCAATATGGATGGAACTGGAGACCATTCTCTTAAGTAAAGTTTCTTAGCACTGGAAAAACAAACACCACATGTCTTCTCTAATAATTTGGAACTAATTGATGGGCATACATGGGTACAAAAAGAACTAAAAATCATTGGAAATCATGAAGGAGGGAGGAGGAAAGCAGGGAGGATGCAGTGAACAATATTCAGGTGATGGAACACCTATAGCCCTGACTAAAGCATTATAAAGCTATCCATGTAACAAAAATATTTGTATTACCTTAATATTTTGAAAAAAATAAAAAAAAGAGAAACAGGGAGGACAGAGTAAGAAAGCCCATTATGTATCTCATCAGAATTGTAGATGAGAGAATATTAATGAAAAATCTCCCTATTATAATTATTTAAAATTTTCAGACTTATAAATAACATTATAATATAATTTTTTAGGCACAAAGCTTTGTCCTCATTTCAAATTATTTTCCTAGGAAAGGTTTCTAGATATAGAACGAAGACACCAAAGGGCATTTTAAAGGCCTCTAATTCATAATGTCAAACTACGTACTTTATAGTTGCATAGTTATAAGCATTACATCACCACCAAGTATACATAAAAAAATGACTTGGCAAAAAATTGTATATCGTGTTTTAATTTGAATTTCTGATAACAATGTTATAATTATCTGGTTATCTGAGAAGTGAAAGAAAAAGATATATAGGGTACGTTCAAGTCTGACAGTGAAACTGTGAGCCACTGCAAATAATTAGCTTTCCATACCACTTCCAACTCCCTCGTGGTCCAGTGTCACATGCTGATTACTGCTGAACTCCACTTCTTCAATCGGAGCCCTTCCAGTAACAACGGTAGTCTCAGGAATAGGCAGAAATACTTCTGCTAGCAAGGTGGGACTACTGTGTCCAACAGTTTCATAGACCTGAAAACCAGAGAAGAGAAACAGCCATAAAAACACCAATTGAATATGCTCACTCTCAGATAATCAGTCCACATTGTTAGTGTTTGTGCTGGTCACTGTTACAGCCCAGAGGGCCCATGTCAGAGTGGAAAGTTGTGTGTTACTATGGTCCTCTTGGAGACCAGCGTACACCCTGTTTGCGGCCCAGTTGTTTACACCATTTTCTTGCTCAGCCTAATGTCCTGGGGTGGGGAGGTTAATCAAAGTAGCCAGTAAAGATAGTTGTTTGTATTCCAAACTAACACACAGATTACACAGAGGATGGGCTTCCCCTTTTCCCTGGCTCAGGTTGCTTTCAGAGAGCAGTGCCATCAGGTGGAAAGTGTGAGACAATAAAGGCATGCCATAGATGGGTTAATATCTGAACCAACCTCCAAGTCAGTAGGAGAAGCTCAACATTCTAGAACCCATTCCATTCCAGAGTGTCATGTTTAAATCTACTACTTGGCAAATCTCTCAAATTTCTTCCCTTCTAGAACTCATTTTATTTGTTATCTGCTGAAACCCCAGCCATTTTCTTGTCAGACCTTTTCCCAGACTGAGCCAACAACCGGCAGCTCTGATGCTGATTGCTGCGGTGTGTCTCATTATGATGCCATCACCACGAGGTGAAGGACCTTTGCCAGGGGAACACAAATTAAGAACGTACAATCCCACCTTAGTTGGACCCTCTGCTCTATTTGATCTCCTGTATTCTTGACTCACCTCGCTTTTGCAGTAAGACAACAAAGTATTCTACAGTTCTGCTGGCTTCTTTCCTGTGTTTTATTCTTTTCCCCCATGAGGTCTCTCTGGTTCACATTTCTTTAAAAATGTTGATTCTATACTATTATTTCTACTAATCAATCTTCATATTTTTCTTCTTATGCAATAGAGTCCCCTTGTCATCACTATTTTCCACTTACCACTTGGAGGCACAAAGATGACACTCTGGATCGACTCCGCCCACCCACCCTTACAGGGCACATGAATTGAGTCCTTTCCCAAGCATGAGGATGAATTTGTGCCTGGCTACCATCCTGGCCTCGCCACCCTGGTATCCACAGCTCAATCTGCAAGATGACTGACTGAGCTTGGAGGGACCACTGGGGCAAAGACAAAGAGGAAAACTGCTTAGGAACTGAACTCAGGACCCCAGGCGGTGACCACCAAGAGACCTGTGACTGTTCAGGGTTTTCCTGTGATGGAGTAGCCCAGTCTCCCTAGTCCAGGAGCTCAACAGGAAGCTGAGTCACACTCTCCAAACTCATCTTTATCAGTAAAAACAGGTGATATTTTGATCTATACTAAAAAATCTTTTATGGAAAATTTCAAACATATACAACACAAGAATGATAATATACCACTGACCCATCACCCAGCTTCAACTATCACTAACTTATGGCGAATCTTATTTCATCTATACTCTCACCATTCCCCTACCCTCCAATATCCTGAACTTAGACATCATTGCACCTGTAAATATTTCAATATGTATCTCTAAAAGATAAGGATATTTAAAAAAGCAAAATTACAATACTATTAATATTATGATAGTATCATAGTAATTCTTTAATAGCATCAACTATTGGTAAGTTTCAAATTCCTTGTGAGCCTCAAAAAATTCTGCAATATTTTGTTTGAATCAGGATCAAAATGTATTCCATATATTACAATTGATTGATATGTTCTCCAAGCATCTATTAATTTATAAGTGACCCCTTCTTTTTACACTTTTTCTTTATACTGTTATTGGTTCAGAACTCTGATGGGAAAAGGACTGCCATTTGTTGCTTGTCCCAATACTCTTAAGGGGCGATAGTTGTATAATCTTACACAACTTAAAGAACACATAGTAGGTTATTGTTTATTGCACAGGAAGCTTTGATTTGACCTGTTAAATTATGGACTCACTGGCATAAAGTTTAAGCCTGAGAAAATGGTGTATTTTCTTTCATTTAAAAAATTTTTAACTTTTTTGCAAAATTTTAATTCATTGAGCCATCCTTTTGTATGAAGCCCACTAGGGACTTTAGGTATGTTATCTTGTTTAATCTTCACCACAATCCTATGAAAGATGGCTTTTATTCCTGATGAGCATGCCTGCGCTGGTCACCTTGTTTAGTGAGGACCAGTAAACACAGTGATCACGTAGCAGGCATTTTTGGCGGACATCAGTGGAAGGCGTTGCTCCATAGATTGCTATATTAGAGACAGAAATGATTTCAGGAGTTTTTCAGGGCTATGCCTTGAAGGAATATGTGAATGTGTTAGTTCACATATCAAAAGCTGCCTGCCCTCCGGAGGGCATCTCAAAGGTCAGTGGCAGCTGCTTTCCAAGGTGACACTGCAGTCTCAAGCCTGTGGTTTTCACTTGCTTTGAACGACAAAGGAGGTTTGCATGGAGCCACAGGATGAGAGCTGACCAAAGAGTGCCCACCTGACGGACAGACACCTGTGGCTAAAAGCACTTAGCCCAAGGGACAGTTCCTGCTTGACTCCTGACTACCTGTCTCCATTCACAATAACTAGATAAAGAAATATGGAGCCACTATATCTCTATTCAACCCTTCTGTTAAGTGATAGCTTTATCTCAGAACTTAAAAGTTTGTCTTTGAAAGATTTTGTAACCATTTGCTCACGTAGATAGAGTTAATTAAGGGATCTATAGAAGGCTTTTGGGAGACTTTTAACCTAAAACGAACTACCTATTATTATGTAAATCTGTTACCCCTGGCAACCGATCTCTGTACCTATAAATACCCCTGTGAAACTTTACTCTGAGCCTCACAGTTCACGAGAATACTGTGGGGTCTCCCAAGCCCCTCCCCTTTATAAATCTACATCTATAAAACTGTACTTTCATCTCTGTGTATTCTTTTATTTCTCTATTCTATTATTTTGTATTTTCTATTATTTCCTTGTCCTTTGCGATGACTCCTGCCTAAGGGACCCGATTTTTTGCTGGGAGCATAGCTAACTCCCCATAGGAAGGGTTCTTGTTCCCAGACTCTGTAGCACATTCCTATCTGGTGTCCAGAGAGAAACTGAATGGGGACTCTTGCTGCCAAGTCTATGGGACAGAGGCAAAGACGGACTCTAGGGGACTAAAGTGTTTGCTAATTGGGACTACTGTCCCAATAAAATCAGCTTTTTTATTTAAAAAAATGGATTCCATCTGACAAAGCCATAAAACAGCTAAAATTTCCCCAAACCTTTTACCTTACTCTTTTAAGGCAGCAGCAGTTCTATTTAATGCTAGAATAAAAGGTTACTTTTAAAAATTGAGAAATGGGTGCTTTGGGCTGTAAATTAGTGTTTATAAATGGCTTTCTATATAATTAAGTTTAATTTTTGTTTTCTCTTTAAGCCAGGGGTTCTCAGGCTCAGCAATTGACAGTCTGGGCTGGATGATCCTTTGTTGTGGGGAGTTGCACATCACAGGATGCTTAGCAGCACCCCGGCCTCTACCCATTACAGATGCCAATAGCTGCCCACCAACTACGATAATGAAAAACGTCTCCAGACATTATCAAATGTGCATTGGGTGGGGGCAAAATCTGAGTAGCACTGCTCTAAGCAAAATGAGCATGTGTGTGTGCATGTGAGTTTGAACACGGAATGTTAATGAATAAAGAAGACTATAAATGGAATTTGATTTACGTTCAGCTGTTTAAAAACTCCTCTGTTGTGTAAGGCAAAGCAGCAGTGAATTCAGAATGGCAGTGAAATCAACTGCTGCAAAATAAGGGCCATTTATGAAATTATTATTACTTTCTCTGCATTTGGAGTATAGTTCGTTTTAACTCAAGAATCTGGTACAAATTTACCTAACAGTATGTAGAATCATATATATAAGACGAACCTTAGATATTTAGGGGAGTTAAACTGAGATAGATGAAAAATATGTTCCATCCTTAAGTAAAGTGTATACTGCATGGTTTTAAGTCATGTTTCTCTGATTTAAAGAAATCACAGTTTCATCTCTGGCCCTTAGGAGTTTTGGATCCCATACAAGTGGCTGCTCTTGGCTGCCTGGGGTGCTATTCACCAGTCCTGGCTGATGGCCCCACTGCTGCTCAGTGTTGACCCAAACTTTTCCTACTGTCATGTTCACAGACTCCCCTCCTTCACTGAAAAGGTTGGGGGCATCTGATGTGAATGCCTTTCACAGCCTTGCCCTCTACTCACCTCTCCTAGGTCAGTACTCCTTCCTCAATGGACCTTCCGAAGGCCAATCCCTCCAACATGTCCTGATCGCACCCTCCCAGCATCCCGTGGGATCTGATCTCTCGCCTCTCCAGCCCCCCCAATTTTCCTTATTTTCAAAGTCATCTATCTTTTCTCACAGCTGACAAACATGCTTGAGTCAACCACACCCTATAGTAAACCATGATCCCTTCAAATCCCTGTTCTATTTCTCTCCTTCCCTTTTCTGCCAAGGCTCTGGGATGGGAGCCTCTTCTTGGTATCTTCATTTTCTCTCCTCCCATTCCATTAGACCTCAGTCACCAGGTCCTTGTGTCAGTTCCCCACTGCAGTCTAATTGTCACATCAGGGACCACATCCAGTTCATCTTCCTGTTTCCCATGGTGCTTCATCGAAGGTATATGCTCGATAAACACTTGTTGGATGGTGGTTGCAGCACAGTGATGTGGTGAAGAGAACAGGTCTGTCCCTGAGCTCTGTCCCTTCTGGCTTTGTGACCTCAGGACAGTTATTTAACTTCCTCACATGTTTCTCCCTCCCTCCCTCTGTAAGACAGGGATGATTAATACAGCTACCATAGGTGAAGACTAAATGAGTTTATACATGAGAAAGGTTTGAATTATATCTGGCATATTATAATTGTTCAATAACTGTTATCTTATACTAGATATTATTAAATATTTACACAATATTTTCCTCATGCCAGAAATATAAAAGCTCAATAGGACTGATTCATAAGGAAAAACAATAATGCTAAAAAATATAAAAGCCATCCAGCAGTATTACTGTTGTTAGTTTTTTTGGAGTTGAGAAGATGAATGTATGGTAAAGTTACAGATGTGAGTAACAAACAAATGAAGGTAAAGATTTTTAAATTTCTAAGTCAAATTTCATTTTTGAAAGGTCAAGCATTTATTTTGGAAAGACCTCGGAAGCCAAGATTTTCAAGATCTTTCTGGAAGGACTCTGGTCTGGCTCCAACTCCCCGTCCAGTGATGTGTAATCTCACCCTTCTCTTGGGGCCAACTTTGATTCTCCTCCTGTTTCCTTCCTCAACTCAAACTGTCATCAAGCTCTGTGGACGCCACCAGTTGACAATGATTGATCTGCAATGTTGCCTTAATCCCTCCTTCCCATTTCTACTGCCAGTCCCCGATCCCATCCCCTCACTCCTGTGTCAGCCTTTGGACTCATCTTCCGCTTGTAGGACTGCCTTGGCATTCTTATCTCAAGCCTGGCTAGGATGCTCTGAGCCTTATGGTTTAAACATATGCAAGAAATCAAACATCATCGTCCACACCGTTCCCCTCAATGGTCCTTCACATAAGTTCACCAATGAGTATTGTATCTTTGGAGCTCTCTCTTATCTTCCAGCTGGATTGAATTCCCTGTGTGCTCCTTTGTGTCTGAGGCTTCCAATTCCCCACCATGCTCCTGGCACAGTCTTAAACCCTTGGTTGGCTCTTAACAATCAAGCGGCAGCATTCATGACTTGGTTGTTTAGTCATCAATTGATACGTTATTGTTTTGAGACTCTCAGAACTTTTCCTGAAATACATTAGGCTCTAAAAGTAAGAATGTGCTAGCACTAGTGTAAACAGATGCACTTAAGGTGATTTTTTTATTACCCTTCTAAAGTTACTGGTAATTCTTGAACTTTCCCTAATTCAAAACTGGCAATTTGATGGAAAATTTCCAAACAGCATTAACACTATTCCTAGAGACTTGAAATACAATATCCCCTACAATTAATTTCATCCGTAGCCACTACCTAATCATAAAAGGTTATGCTGTTGTGACACGTGATTTGATCAGTTATCAAATACCTTTAGATAGCATCAGAACTTAGGCAATACTCCCTTAAGTGGTAATTTTTTTTTTAAATGCTTACGTGATTCAGTTCTTAGGGCCAAACTAATTGCCTATGAATGTATTCTTGGAGGTAAAGGAGAAAACCGTTTTTTTGTTTAAAAAAATTATTTCATAGTATTTCAGAGAATTACTGTTATATTACTTTTAAAAAATTATTTTGACGATAATAACCACAGCAAGCTAATATTCAAGATGGTAAACACGGGATAGTGTTAAAGGCTTTGCTTGTATTTTAGAATATACGTGAAATAAAATAATAGTGTGCTGTGGAAGGCAGAAGATAGTCTTTCCTTCTGAAGTAATTCAGTAAATTTGGAACTGCCCACAGGGGGAGGGAGGGGGTTTCACAGACTCCCACCAATCAGGGGAGGCGGGGCTGGGGAGGCCCTAGTGCCCTCTCTCCATCTTTCTGACTCTCTTTCAGTGGGTCTCCTTGCTGAGGCTCCCTTGCCTTCCTACCTGCCACGGTACCATGTGCTGCTCTCCCTTCTAGCTCTTTATCTGGTCTTCTCATGTCTTCCTCACATCAGCTTTTCCCCTGCAGGGGAGGAACAGGGAGGATGTGTTAACTACGGGTATCGAACTAGGAGAAAGAACTCTGAATACTGAGATCTCTGCTCTTCTGTGAATGCAGAAAGGGGGGGATGCTATGTGGGCCCCCAGCAACTCCTCCTGTATTCAGAGCAGGTGACAGAAAAGCATCAGGTGGGCTTCCAGAGTTTGTGTTTACTTACTTTCTCGGTGAAGTTTTATTCTTAATTTAGGCAATGTTTTGTGTGCAGTAAGTCTGACTTTACACTTCAGCTTAAGCGAATGTGTTCGGGGCAACACAGGCAGGTTGATGTGGGGAACCAGCGAAGGTCTGGGGCTTCAGAACCAGCAGAACGGAACTCTCTCCAAAGGCATTCAGATTTTAAATGTTCCCAAACCCGGCTGTCCAAACAGAGGGCACTGCCCCCTGGGCCCCTGCAGGGAATACCTGGCCAGGAAAGGCTGCTGTTAATCAGGTATTAGTGGTATCAAGAATACTAGATTTTATCATTTTAACGTATCTGAAATTGAATTGAGCAGGGGCCGCCAAGTCTCCTTTCCAGCGAAGAGCTGGGAGCTCTCCACTCTCACATTCAGACGAAGTCACCCCATTTCGCTCTCTGGATCCATTGAGAGTTATAATCAAGAGGGAAAAGAAGTAGAAACTTGTAGAAAGATTATTTTCCCAGGGATGATATTCAGAAAGGGAATTTTCAGGCTTAAGGAAATCTTCGCTTTTTGCCAAACCTCCAAATTCAATCCCTTTTCTAAAACCATTCTTTACTTGCTCTCTGTTCTTATACCTATTAAGTTTGCAGCAAAAAACAAAAAGTTCTATTTTTTTCAAGTTCCAGAATATATATCCATTTTTAAAAATTTAGATGGCATTTTAAAGAATTATGTGAGTGACTAAGCCAATGTCTAAAATTTCAAGAAAAATGTTTTCAGTCGTGCAGATATCAATGCTGCTATCAACACAGCAAAGGAATTTGGCTTGAGGCTTGATGCTTTGTAAATGAGGACCACCCTCTGCCCTCACCTACAAATTAAAAGGTGTGGACAAAACTGCCACAGGCTCTGGAAAAATCCTAAACTCTATAGGTTGACCTTGGGTACCCAGTGGTGGCCCTTTTAGGATCCCCCTCCCATTTCTTGGTACCCCCACTCTCTTTCCATGTATTTCCGCTGTGCTTCCTTCCCACTGTCAAAAGAACAGCCTATCTTAGATGCCCTAAACTTCCTCTATCAATTTTAGGTTTTTATTTCTGAGGTCTAGGCAGGCGATGATACTCAAATTGTTGAACAACACACAGGGCCAGGCACTAACCACTCAGAAGAGCTGTCAGCCACAGCTTGGGATCAGAGTCCTGCAGGCACCAGCCTTGCTCAGCCACCCACTTTAACTGGTCAACTGTGGGAAGGTCCAAGGGATCTTGGAAGTGGGGTCTATGTGGCTAGGGTGGCATTTTGGGGACTCACGGCAGCATCTAGTTACCATTCAGTACAGAAGTATGTAAATATGTAATTAATAATTATACAGCTGTAATAGTACCCACAGACTTAATGTCAATTACAATCACTAGATAGTGAGTGCTTAGACTATTGTGTTGAAAAGGATTCTGAAGTTAAATCCAGGCTCAGTGGGGAAAAAAAGTCAGAATCCATTATTCTTTTCTGGCAGGGGTGGTGGATGGGAGTGAGAAATTCCTGTGTAAGTGGTGGATGAGGATCAGTGATTTCTGCCAGGGCAGTGGATGGGAAGCAAGGCCATGTGTGCCATATAGTTGCAACCTTAGTTAACAAGCCTGTTAGAATCGTAAGAGAGAAATCTGTTAGCATCAGAAGCAAGGATTCACCAAAAGAACAAACAAGTCTTAAGACACTGTAGTGGGCTGAATAGCCTCCTCCAAAAATTGATGTCTACCCAGAACCTCAGAATGTGACCCAATTTGGAAATGGGGTCTTCGCAGATGTAATTAGTTAAAGATCAGGATGACAGCGTACTGTATTAAGGTGGGGTATAAATCCAATGAGAGACAAAAGGACACACGGAGACACAGAGAAGCCCAGGTGAAGACGGAGGCAGAGACTGGAGTTAAGCTGCCAGAAACCAAGGAATTCCAAGAGCCAGGAGAAGCTGAAAGAGGCAAAGGAGGATTCCCCTCTAGAGCTTTTAGAGGGAGTATGGCCCTACGGACACCTTGATTTCAGACTTCAGGCCTCCAGACCTGAGAATGAATAAATTTCTGTTGTTTTTAAGCCACCAAGTCTGTGGTGCTTAGTTATGGCAGCCCTAGGAAACTGAAACAGACACAAGTAAATATATTGCTAATGGTGGGATTTAGGCTAGGGAGAAGATTTATTAATTTGGGGGATCCTAGCACTTTTATCTCTCCTCGTGCCCCATCATAACCACCTGTGATTATGCCAGAATTGATTTCTTTGTTGTATTATGCTAGGGTCCTGGTGGAGGGTGATATTGAAATAGTTCTTCGGTGAATGAGCTGGAGATCCCCCATCCCCCACCCCATCTTAAGCCACACACTTGAGCACTGCGGCCAGCGTTATTCTGCCAGCTTTTTCAGGAGGCAAGTGGGGTAGCAGATCTCTTTCTGCCAAGACCTTAGGAACAGATGTGCCAAGGAAGAGGCTGACCTATTCCCCTTGAGAACATATCAAGACACCTGCATAGCCAATGGATGACTTAAAACCAACTGACACTTGCAAGGAACAAAAAATTCATGGGACAGCGACTATAATTAAAATGTGTACCTGAAGTGTTAAACTCTCCGGCCAGTTGAATATTTGCAAATTGAAAATCTGACCAAAGTGAACTCGGAAGTCTGTCCCTAGTTGCCGACTGACCGTCCTGGACACCTCCTTGTTGTTGAAGAGCACCTTTAAGTACACTGAGCGCCTCTTTACATCTTCCCTTCGCCAGACCTCTGCCCTGCAAAAAGAAACCATTTGCAGGTGGGATTAGCATTCATGTACTAAGGGTCACTGGAATATTTGATAAATGGACGCTGAACAGAACAAGGTAAGCTGGAGGCAGTTCTGTCAGCCTCATTTAACCAAAATAGCACGGGTCTTGCAGAGCTTACTGTAATAAAATATTGCGATGCGGAACTCGTGGAGAAGCCAATTAAGTAAACATATTCTTTGTTAAGTGGAGTGAACTTAAACCATAAGGGATAGTAATGATTTATATTTGGATAAGAAGTTTTATCCTAAAAATATAGTAGCATATTATAGCAGTTAGATCAAGTCTATTTCTCTAAAATCCAAGCTTTTTCTCAACATTTTCAATAATAAGTGACTACACAATGGATACAGGCAGGATATCAAGTAACATTCCTTATTTTTAAAGATAATTTGAATCATAATAAAAGGTATGCTGGTACCTTGGAAAAGTTGAAGCATATCATTCTTATAGCCAGAAAGTTAAAAATAAACCAAACCCCCAAAAGTAGTCTTTAATTTTATTGCATATATTTGCAGAGATGCCCACGCCAAAATGCTTATTATTGGTTAAGTCAATAGCAATTCAAGCTTGTTGGGGAAGGGAAAAGATTAGGGCATCAAAATCTAAAGCTCAGGTTTTTTGGGCGGTAGTTTATTAAAAAAAATTTTTATTGTAGTGGTAAAACATATACAACGTAACATTTACCATTTTAACTATTTTTAAGTTTACAGTTCGGTGGCATTAAGTACATTCACAATGCTGTGCAGCCATCACCACGATCCATCTCTAGAACTTTTTCATCATCCAAACACAAATTTTCTAATCATTAAATTGGGTGGTAGTTTTAACTTTTTATATCTTTACAATTTAGACCTATCTCAGACACGAAATTGCTCAAATCACTTCAGCATTTTTTCTATAAAGGACATTTAACACTAAATTGCAAAGAGTATCTAAGACACCCACAGACTTGGACTCCACTCATAATAGATTACCAAATCAAGACCAGATTTTAGAAAGCATGCTCTGTCATCACACATTTTGACTGTTTATGACAGAATTATGTGGCATGGTATTTGTGTCTTGAAAATAACTAATTTAGTGCTAGAGAATAACTTATGTATAGCATCTAAATATGTGAAGTTGACAGAACACGTGAAAATACACAAGAAGCTACAATTTAAAAATAAATCAATCATTAATACCTTAACAGAAGTTTGAAATCAAGAAGGTTGTAGTTAGTCTTATAATGACATTAATTAATGTGGAATAATTAATTAATCCCCACATCCTAATGAACTTGGGCGCTGACTGCTTTGATTTGAATTCTCACTTTTTATGTTGGGACACTGGAGATTCCAGTCTTTGATATTCATGACAGCTCTTCTGTTTACTGGAGAATGAAGCCTGGGATTTGGTGGTATCAACGATTTTAATAGATTCCCTTTAATCCATTCTGATATCCTATAACATGCATCAGAATCACGTGATGACCTTGTGAAAACACAGTTTTCTGGGCCCCACCCCAGAGTTTCAGACTGAGTAAGTCTCAGGTAGAACCTGAGAGTTTGTATTTCTAACAAATTCTTAAATGAGGCTGATGCTGCTGACTCTAGGCCTATCCTTTGAAAACCATGACTATAAGGTATAGGGAATAAATAAATAGGCAGCAAATGAGAATGTCTATAAATATATTTTTATCAAATCAGGAGGGTGGGCTACAGGTGGCCTGACTTAGATACAAGCTACAAGGCTCACCCACAGTTCCCTTTGGGAGGTTCTATGAGGCCTTCAAAGAAAGCAGCTGGCTCCAAGAGCAGCTGGAATCAGGGTCAAGGAGAGGCCTTGGTGCCCATGCCAGGGAGGAGGGACATGCTACCAGTGGAGAGAAAAGGCACATTGAGGTTACCGATAAGGGACCCAAACCAAAAGCCACACAGACAGCCACTGTGTTTGTTTGTTTGTTATTTATTTATTTATTTTTAATTTTTTTCAAGACAGAGTCTTGCTCTGTTGCCCTAGCTAGAGTGCTGTGGCGTCAGCCTAGCTCACAGCAACCTCAAACTCCTGGGCTCAAGTGATCCTCCTGCCTCAGCCTCCCGAGTAGCTGGGACTACAGGCATGCGCCACCATGCCCGGCTAATTTTTTCCGTATATTTTTAGCTGTCCAGCTAATTTCTTTCTATTTTTTTAGTAGAGATGGGGTCTTGCTCTTTCTCAGGCTGGTCTCGAACTCCAGAGCTCAAACGATCTGCCCACCTCAGTGTCCCAGAGTGCTAGGATTACAGGCATGAGCCACCATGCCAGGCCTAGACAGCCACCGTGAAGAACAGGCATAGATTTGTGACTGGAAGCTTCTCTACAGGCAGCTTTACCTAGTGTGCTCCTGAGTAGGCAGCAGGGATGGGTAAGTGAGCCATGTGAAATCTCCTAACACGGGCAAACGTCAGGAATTTCATGAGGTTCAACCTAATATGTATTTACAGAGAGTCATTGATTCTTCTGATCATGCTGTTGTAGGTCAGCAGACGTACACTCCACACAGCATGCACGTGTGGGCGTGCGTGTACACATGCGAGCGTGCCAGATGTCAGCCTCACTCACGGTCAGAGTGTCCACTCACCTGGGGCACTGGTCGTTGGGGGTCACACTCCCCGCCAGGCTCAGCTCTGGGAGCAGCGTGGGCTCTCCAGGCCTCCTCCTGCTCTGCGCTGCTCTCTCCCTCACCTGCTGCTCTATCGCTGCCTGATCAGTGGGCTCCGGAGGGGTGGGCTTCACAGGATCCTCCTCAGGATACGGCTCCTCAGTCTCTTCCTCGGGATGTTCTTCTGTTGCTTGTTTCTTTTTCTTCTTCTTGGCCCTCTGTTGGGTAAGAGGCAATGTGATGTCAAACAGGAATTTTGGAATCTCATTCAAGAGCACAGTCGTCAGAGCCACATGGACCTGGACGCAAACTCCAGCCCCACCTCAACCAGCCGTGTGTACTCAGGCAAGTTACTAAGTCACCTGGCCTCTCTGTGCCTCCGTTTTTCTCATCTACAAAATGGGAACAAACATAAGAAACTCCTCCCAGGGCTGTTAAAATGAGGATAAGGCACTTATGATAGTGCCTGGTCCCTAGAAAGCTTAAAAAAATGTTAGCTATTCATGTAATCATTAATACTGGTTCTCAAGGCCAAGGACACATCTTGAAATTAAAATAAGGCTTGTGAACACAGCGAGCATTGCAAGCCACCTTGCTCTATTACTTGTGCTTGAATTTGATTTTGCAGAGTCATGTGCATAAAGTTACATAATTTTCTGAGGGAAACTCAGAAGCATCCACACCCTACATTCCATGGGACAATGCATGCAAAATACTTAGCACAGTGCTTGACACATGCATGAGCAATTACTGTGTTATTTACTTGTTTTTTCACCCAGATAGTCACAGAGTGCTACCAAAGAACTATCTATGGACAATGCTGGCTCTGGTATCAGCTAGATGGGGGGCTTTTTAAACAGATGCATTAAGCAGTCACTTCACTAATCCTTTTGTCCCTTAGCCCGCCCTCCCAGACCCTGCTTGGTCAGGCCTGTGTTTACAAACCTGGGCTTTCTTCCAGGCTTTCCACTGCTGGTACGATGTTCTGTACTCTTCCATCTTCTGTTCATATTCCTCTGTGTGCTCTTCCAACAATTCACTTATTTCAGCTTGAATTTCTGCTTCATATGCTTCTTCATCTGCTTTCTGGTCAACTTTTTCCCTTTAAAATGATTTATAGTACCTTGGTTATTTCTTGAAATTAAAAGCAATAACAACAGCAGATACTTATATTGGGCTTGCTTTGTGCCAGTTCCTCTTCTAAAAGTATTGTGTGTGTTAACACAACCTCATGAGGCAGATACTGTTAATATTTGCATTTTATGCATGAGGGAACCTGCAGCACAGAGAAGTTAAGTAATTTGCCCAAGAAGGCTCAGTTGGTGAGTGGAGGAGCTGGAATATGAGCACAACCTATTGAACACTAAGCAATAAATGCCACTCTGAGGTAAATGACCCATAGAGTGTGCTGACACAGTGTCCATAAGTTCTCAGCTGATGGTGACAGACGTTTCATCAGTTATTTCATTAATTCTGCAAGTCTCTGAGGAATCACTGCATTTTGGTGGTACCATCAAATCACTTTTTTGACTTTGGATTGACAATTTTAGTTTTTCTTTGATGATTTTGCTGATATTCCTTCAGGAGACCAGCCCAACCCAAACCAGTGTTTCCCACGGCGTGTACTGTAGAACTTTGGTTCTGTGCTCTGTCCTACCAAAAAAAGATGCTGTGGCCGTATTGGCACTAGATTAAATAAATGTGAAAATTTCCTTGCTGGTCATCTTTTCTGAGCGCTTTGTGTGTTAATGCACAGTGTGACTGTGCAGTGGGGGGTGGCAAACATGCAGCACCACCAACCCACCCAGGACATCGGAGGTGGTGCAACTTGGTGACTGAGCTGTTCCTCCTACCACGTCTGGCTTCCAAGTTCTACTCTCCTCACGTTTCTCTCTCTGTTTTAGATAAATGTAGTCAAATGTCTAGAGCTGACAAATGTTTGCTTATGTCCGTGTGTGGCCTGGTGGTTTAGCAATGAACAGTCCCCCGAGGCACAAGCTCTTACAGATCTCTAGGATAACTACCACAGAAATCACTTTGGATACATGGTGGTACCTGAAATTTATAAACATTGGGGAGATTTGGCCCCCAAATTATGTTCCATCTCTGATTATACAGAGAACCATTCACTTTTCTCATTGCTATTCAGAAACATGAATAAACTATTAGAAACTTGAATAATTTTTTATAGGAAAAAATTATGCTTTATCATATGGTGGCTAGATGAATCAAGAATGTGAAAAAAATGGCACCCCAGGAGAATTTGGGAAACAGCTACTTATTGGAGGAAGGGGTATTATGACCTTATGGGTAAATTGCTTATAAATTTAGTTTATCCTATAAACTTAAGAAGGAAGGAAGGAAGAGAGGGAGGGACAGAAGGAGAAAGGGAGGAAGGGATGGAGGGAAAGAATAATCTAGCAAAGATTTATACACTGCTTCTGTGGGAGGGGTAGCTTGGGAGATGGAATTTGGAAGCAGAAATACTGGAATTTCTGGGAGACATCCATAGTTTTTCTATGATAGAATACTTGAATTTGTTTTTTGTTAACCAGTATTAACTGAGTAGATGCTAAGTCACAGGTGCTCTATTGGGGACCAGATATAAAATAACAATAAGGTCCTTGCTCTCAAAGAGCACACAATCATATTTGTCCTGCAAAGTGTAAGATTTTTTTTTAGTTTTATGATTACAGCCCAAGAAAATCACAGTTTGCAGGCATCTTTGGCTAAAATATGACTGTTTTGAAAGCAATATGTCAGATATATGCCTAAATTTTTTCCTTTTTGTGTAGACAAAAGGATACACACAATACTTATCCAGAAGAAACAAACAGGAAAGGACCAAGACCTACAGCAGAGACACTTTTGCATTAATACGTAGAACATGGTTTTGTGGTGATAAACTGTACTCTCAGGTATATATAAAATTTCAGTGAATTAGGTAGCATAAATGTTATCAATGCTTACTTTCTCCAAACCGCAAAGATCAATTCCAAATGGATTAAAGAGGAAATGTGAAAGATAAAACTATAAAGGTTATAGGAGACAATATCATAGAATATCTACATGACTCAGGGGAAGGGTTACTTAAGCAACATATGAAAAGCACCAATCATAAAGGAAAAGACTAATATATCCTTTTAAAGTCAAGAATTTCTATTCATCAAAAATTACCAGAAAGAGAGTAAAAAGGCAACGGTGAAGTGGGAGAAGGTATCTGCAATACACACCACTAACAAGTTCTTAAGTCTAGGATTACATGCAAAACTCTTGCAAATTACCAAAAAAGATAAAAAGACAAACAATCCAGTTCAAAAATTGACAAAAGCCTTGAACAGATACCTCACAAAAGAGGAAATCCAAATAATCACATATGAAAAATGCCTACCCTCATGAGTAGTCAGGGAAATATAAATTGAAACATGGCAGCAGATTAGCGGCATGTTAATGTTTGACCCCATCAGGTGATATACACGATATGGACCTGTGGGAACCCTGGTGAAAGTATAAACCAGCACAATCACTCTGGAAAATGTTTGGAATCAGCATGTGAAGTTGGAGAAATACATCCCCTAAGACTCAACAGTTGCATTTCCAGGTATATTTATGGAAAACTTGGGCACATGTATCCTAAAAGTACAGAAATGTCTATAGAAGTGGTATTTATAAAAGTTAAAACATGGAGTCAACTCAAATGCCCGTCAACAGTAAAATGGACAGATTTTCCTATATTCATATAATGAAGTATTATAAAGCAAAGATAACAAACTATGTGCTGTCAAATAGCTGAATCTCGCAAACATAGTATTGAAGAAAAGAAACGATTGTATATTCACTAACGAATTCACACAATATACTTACACTTACATAAAAGTGGAATACAGGCAATATTAAACCATGTATTCTTAGGGAGTACACAAAGACAGCAAAACTTTATAAAAGCAAGTAAACAATGACCTCAGAAATCCAGATAGTTGTCACATCTGGGATGGAGGGGGTGGTGATGGGGAAAGGAACACGCTGGTTTCTCAGGTACAGCAATGTTCTATTTCTTAACTTGGGAGTGGTTATGTGGTTATTCATTTGTAATTATTTTTCAAACTGTATCCATGTTTTATACATTTTTCTCAACGTATGATATAGCCCAATAAAAGAATTTTTGAAAAAAGCCTACTTTCTCAAAACAAGTTTCAAGGGCGTATTGGTAAACCTCTGGAACTCTCGAAGGGATTTCATCTCCTTCCAAACTTTAATGATGGTCTTAAGCAATGTTCGATCTCTTTCTTGTTCAGCATCCCGCAGTTTTCTAGTTTGTCTACAAGATATACAAGTATATGTTAAAAAGTTATGTAGGTGTGTTCACAAATAAAAAAAGAAATTAATAATGCTACAGTGACTGTATATTCAATTTGTAGTTACCATTATTTCTAGACAAGTACTAGAAATCCAAATACCAATGCAAATTTAAAGACAATAGGATACCGATTTGTTTTGAGAGGTCTATTTGATTTTGCTCTCTCTAGGTGAATCTAACTTCAATTAAACTAAATTATCTTTTAAAATTCTTATTAAAACTCTGAACCCTTAAATAATCACCTTTGAAGTTAAGAAAATAAAAAGCTCAGTAAAGGTAGCTCTCACAGAATACATTATTGTAAACAAAGCAAAGTATGGTACTTACTGTCCTAGTTAACAACAAATACATTAAAACCTTTCTGTGTTAATACAAATCACAAGTTCCACACTGAGGAAATGAAGTATTGTTACTGTATTTCTTGGAGAGTTTTCAGTGCTAAGTAGATTACAGATAATTTTGGCTTGATCTGAAGAGGTATCATTTGAAAATGTGTTCATCTTTATTTTTGTTATTTAAAATGTTTGGAAATTGTTTAATGCCTTTCTTTAGGCCTTCTTTATGAATGATAGCCCAATCCAGACCTTGAATACATTCTATCATGCTATTAATTAATTAATTATGAAGCAACCATTTAATTTTTGAACAAGTACTAGTATGTCATTCCAGCAGATTCAGAAGTGTCCAGGAGATAGGAGGTGTCTCTGTCCTTAGGGAGTTCATCCTTTAGCCTAGAGGACAGACACATACACAACTGATATAATACAGTGTGAGATTTGCCTAAGAGAAGACCACGAGAATCCAAGGAGGCAGCATTTTACAAATTAGCCCCTCCTGACCTCCAGTAGGAAGGGCTGAATCTGGAGGTTGCACTTATGATGACTTAGTCTGGAGAGATGGTACAGAGAAGCAAGGAGGTCTAAGTTTCTAATCCATCAACTGGTAGCTGTGGAAAAGGAAGATGACAAAAGATGACAGCCAGTTAGGAGTTGGGCAGCCAAGGTCCGGGACTCTCTGAAGTCCTTAGAAGAGCAAGTGACAAACTAGAATAAGAAACATTCTCCTTGAGGGGCAGTCAAGCACCGTGGTTAAGGGTGCAGTTGTTGAAGCCAGATTACCCAAATTTGAAGCCTCGTTCTATCCTTTTCTAGCTGGACCTGTGCAAGACATTTCCCTTTCCCAGGCTGCTTCTGTAAAATAAGGATGCTAGAGAACCGACCTCACTGGGATGCTGGGAGAAGTAAATGAGATAATCCACACAATGTGCTTAGAACCTTGCCTCATACCTGGTAAGTGGCCCACAAACGTTACCTGTCATTACCAGGTGGTCTCTTCTTCTCTTACGCCTTTAGCTGCTAGCTCCCCTGCCTCCGCTTTAAAAATTGCAATATAAAATTATTTTACTGAGTTACACAACACCTTCAAGCTTTCTGATACATTTGCTACTTCTCTTTTTAGTATCTAACAAAATAGTTTCCCAGAAATGTTAGAAAAAGGTCTTAGATACAAAAGTTTGACATATGAGCTAAAGAAGCAGGGAATCACAAAAAATATTTAATTTACAATTGTGACCAGAGCTGCAGGGGAAGAGAGGAAGCCAGTTTTGATTAGGCAGTGGGGAACAGTTTTCTGAAGCCCAATGTGGATGGGGTCTGGAGTACAGAGGGGACATTCAGCTCAGAGATGAAACTGACAGCCACTGGCATCTAGATAATGTTTAAAGCTGCAGAAGTGGATTCATCAAAAAGGTTAAGGAAAGAACAACATCTGAGGAATTCCAAACATTTATAAGCTGGGCAGAGGAGGAAGGTTAGGCCTTGGATGATGAGGACAGGCAGCTGGTGAGGGATGAGGACATCCAGGAGAGGGTGGTGGATGGAGATGAAGGAATGACAATGTCTCGACAGTCAACACGTGGGGATGGTGCCAGCGTCCAGAGCTCAGAGCTTCTATTCCACTTAGTTATGTGGAGGTTCCAGCGGCTGGGGTGAGAGCTGCTTCAGAGGAAAGGTGAGCACAGAAGTGAGACAGGGTGGATTGGAGACGGGAGGGAGTGGAGACAGTCTGAATAGCAAATGTTCCCAGAGGTTTGGCTGTGAAAGGAAACATAAAGTGATAGTTGGATGGACATCTGGGGTCATAGAATTTTTATTTGCCCAAGATCGAGCACATCTGAGGGTGAAGACCCCAAGAGAAGGTTAAAGTGTTTCTCTGTATCGCATGAACATCCCTGTTTCTTTCCTTATATATCCTGGTTCCAGTTCAGAGGACAAGCAGTGTGGTCAGGAAGCTGTTATGCAAGATAAAATGGGAAGTGCTCAAAGCAGTGCGGGCCCAGGTTAACCGCACCAGCTGAGGGCCCAGCAGATAATCGGGTGGGGGTTCTTGGAGGCAGCGGATCAGATCCCAGGGGATTTGAGCAAGGGGGTCTGCATGGTGAGACATACAGGAACAGATCATCTGCCTAGAAACTGTTTTACCACCTAGAGAAAAGTCAGTAAAGGACTGAAATCCCCTCTTTTACTGGGTCATAAATGATGAATCTCAGAGGTTTCGTCTCCAGGGGCGGCAGAATTATTGCAATGAGTCTGCCTTCCATGAGTCCACCGGGCTTGTCTGTAGGCCTCACATATAGTTCTGCTGTTTTCCAAATAGTGGTTAATAAATACGATTTCACATCGAACGATAACTGCTTTCAGAACAGCTTTTTGTTACCTTTTTCTTACCCAATGCTTGCTAAAATAAAAATTATTCTCACAAGGAGGCTGCAATGTTTTCCTTTTAACATAAAAAATTTTGTCATTTTTAAACAGTCTTCATACTTTTGCAATTATAGTATACAAACTTCACTAATGTACACTTTGCTGGAAGAATTTCCAACTCATGGCTAGAATTGTAAGAAAAAAAGTATATGTTGACACTAATTGATTTATTATTTCCTATTCTAAGAATTTATTCTGTGGAAATAGTCATACAGGCAAACAAATATGTATATATACATACACAAATACATACTTAGGGAATTTTAATTAAAGTATGATTTAAGTAATAAAAAATCGGAATAATACAAATGCCTATCAATTGGGGATTGTATAAACTAATAAGTTTAAATAATGCCTGCCTTTAAACGATGATAGAGATGTACTATAATAGATGTACTATAGATGTAGTATAATAGGAAGAGTACCTAGATGTACTAAAATAGGAAGAGGTCTAAGATGCATTGTACATAAAAAAGTTGCAGAATGGTATATGCAATATGATCCCTCTAATAAAATATATATACATGAACACATCTATGTGTGTAAACGTGTGTGTGCATGTTTGCATGTATGTAAGCTACTGGTGTCTTACTTTTGTGGGTAATGCTGTGCTCATCCTTGCACACATACCCATGTGCACAGGCAGATGTAGCTCCTTAGAGCACACACATATGAAGAGGAATTGCTGGTTCCAAGCTGATGGGCATTTTCAATACTTTTCTAGTCTATGGCCAAGCTGTTCTCTAAAGTGGTGGTTCTAGCAATTTTTGCTTACACCTGGAGAGTATGAGACTATTTCCCCACATCCTCATTCACATTATCGGATTTCAAATTTTAAATTAATAGGATGGATGTGTTTCATTGTTTTATTTGGCATAATTTCATATGCATGCAGTGCATTTAGAAAAGCTATCTGGAAAAATAATTCTAAACAAGTGCTTATCTAACAGGGGAAAAAAAATAGTAGTTACAATTATAAACTTTACTCACCGAATTTCAGATTTATATTCATTGATGGTTTTTTGGATCATATCAAGAGACTGATGAGGTTTTTCTGGATTAAGGCCAGTCTGAACAGCATTTCTTAGAGCTTGAAGCTTAAAAAGATATGGATACAAGTTTTGAGTTAGAAACTCTATTGCCTACTGCAAGCAATGTGAGTAGACCTACCCTCTTCTGGGCAAAATGGTGGCAGCAGTCTGTGAATGGATGTTCAAGCATCCGGCTGTCTCCAACTTTCATCAAAATGAACTGTGACAGAGAATGTTTTATCTGCTCTTAAAAAAACTGAAATAATAAAGAATAGTGTATGTCTATCTTTGTTCTGTGGCCCAGATAATCAAGCCACTCATGACAAATATTACTTTCATGTGTGTGTCTCAGAAACAAGTTTTCTTGTAAAGTTAACAGTGGGTCTTTCCGGGTCCTGCACATACAATGCTATTCCTGTGATATGAAGAAATCATAAAATTATAGACTCACAAAAGGAGGTATTGTGAAGTTATTTCTCTTATTTGGGCAGTGAGGTTCTAAAGTTGGGGCATGAGACCAAAATTGCCTATAGTCAAAATGATCCATGAAAATCCCATGTGATAATGTCACATTGGAAATAAATCCAAACTGGATAGCCATTTCTTTGAGCATTAGTCAAAGCAAGTGACTTGTGTTTAGGTGCCACACTGTGGGAAAATACATATGAAAATGAAAATGTCTCCAAGGTCAGAGGGATTCTCAAGCCACCAATGGTCTCAGGATCTGAGATCACATAAGCAAGTAATAGCCATGTATCTGCCATCTAATACCTACTTCTGGTAGGTGTGATCACTCATGCTGTTTACCTAAATCTTTCTCTTTAAAGCAAGCATGTGGTATTGAATTTGCATGTTTTAAATGTGCACCATCTCTATCCTCCTTTTTGCCTCTAGGTAAGACAATGTATCACACATCCTAGACAGAGGGAACACATCAATGAGGGGCATGAACACTTTGCTGCTAGAAAGTATTTTCATTTGTTTGGGCTCATTGGAAGAACCAACCCCACCAACAATAAGCATGGAAGAGCTCATATATACCTTATCAGTAAGAAACTTTGCCTTGTTTCTCTGGTGTCTTGCAAGGTACTGATCATATAACTGGGCCAGCTTGGCTGCCAAAACATGCTCTCGGCTAAAACAGGGATGATGAGTGAAGATTAACCCTGAAATATCAATGTCCAGTTGGAAATTTCCAGAAGGGTCTCCAGATCCAATCATATGCTGACTACGGTGGACATATTTCACTGCCTGCCAAAGAGAGCAGAGTGTGGATGGAATATAGTGAAAGCACTTACTAGTTAATCCGCAGTGGGAAAACGGTCAGGTGCAAAATACCTCATATCCTGGTCAAGTCAGTGGAAGATGCTTGATTACCTGTTTGCAAATTTTAGGGGCCTGCTCTTTTTTTGAATACTTGAAAAGGAAAATGAAAGACCAGGAGTGAGAAAAGAAACCACTTCAATCTTGCTTTTCTATCTTTTTGGTTTCATTACTCTCCCAAGTCATCGTTCTAATGTTTTTTGTGTAGACGATTCTGTTTCTTGAAATCTTGGGTTTTGTAGCTGGTGACCTCGAGTTCTTTTAACGAGAAAAGCATAGATTCTAGTTCAAACTGATCTTTATTTGGATCATAGATATACTCCTGTGTAATGAAAATTTTAAAACATGGAGAAATCTTTATTTTGTAGACAGCAGCAAGAGATTAGCTTTTACTTAACCAAGCTCCATGTTGGCACCCGTTTTACCTGGGGAGGAAGGAAGGTGGAATGCAAGATAACAGAGGAAGGGGGTGCAGCTGAGTGTGTGGAAAACAGAAAGGGAGATTTCCAGTGGGGATTCTGGGATTGTCTGGTGTATAGTGTATCAGATAGATTTCTCTGTTTTTTTTTTTTTCACAAAATCTTCAAGATAATCTGCCTTGATCACTGCTATTGTGGTTGGGGAGCTCAGAGGTAGAGAGGAAATATCTCTGATTTTGTGTCTTTATTTTCTCTCCTCATTATATAAAGCCTGACTATAGTCAGGATGTGGTGGTTTGAGACAGGTCACTCAATCCTTTCCTTTTGCAGAGATGAGCTTTGGAAGCTATTTACTTTACCTGGAAAATGATAATATAAGATCATGTGGCACAAATGTATTATTAACAAATTATGAGGTTAAATGGAAGTTGTAAAAACTGTAATCAGAATTAAAGCCTTCATTCCTCTTAAATTGTGGGTAACATGTTCAGTAATCTCTTCATTGAATTCTTTTGCATGGTAAAGATGCTGCATTTAGGCCGGAAGCCTTGGATTCTAGCCCTGGTTCTACCTTGAACTTGCTCTGAAATCTTTGGCAAGTCACTATAAGTCTCTGGGCCTCTGTTTTTTCATCTGTACAAATGGTAGGCTGAGGAAAAAGATTCAATTCGCATTCTTCAGCTCACTAGGCATATCAAGCATTTCACATATGTCATCTCATTTATTCAACAAAGATTAATGGATGTCTGCAGTGTAGCAGAGCCTGTCATCAAGCAGCAATGAACTTAGAGGGGAAGACAGCCCCAGGATCTAGAAGTGTTAAGCCTGGAATGTGCCGAGAGTGGTACAGAAACGCAGAAGGGGGGATTCTAGCTAACATTATTCCCTATCAGACTAAGAACAGAGAAGAGGAGGTATATATTGTGAATATATGTGTGTGTATGCGTATACATGTATATACATATAGAAATGTATTCCCATTTGTTTTATACTGTGAGCTGATTTTCAGTTCCCACTAGTCACCAAAATAGTGACCAACATTTGCATTTACAGTAGAGCACATACATATGAGTCTCCATTTACCAGTTAATTTGTCATTGTGTTGTGTTGTTGCCTGCTTTGTACTAGTTTTCATAGGTAAGACTATATGATATTTTAGCCATTCAATTTTATATCTTTTCCCACCTGGATTAGTAGACTATTAATATATATTTAGGACTTATGGTTTTCTATAGGGCTCTAAAATAGTGTGTCCTACATTTATAATAATATCAATTTTATCTTATAAAATAATATTTAG